TGCACATTCTGAGAGTAGTGGATTGAGGCCCAATGAAGGGGTTCCACCATACAAACAAAATCATTCAGAGAAGAATATAGTTCATTAAAAAAAAAAAAAAGGGTTTCACGGTTTCCACCATGGCAAGCAACTGGAACAACAAACACAAACTTCTTTTTTTTTTTTTTTTTTTAACGCAAACGCCCGCTGGGGTCTACTATAAGGAGTTGATATGAGCACGCTCCCCTAGAAGGCCCATTGCCGGCCGCTCCATCTATATTGGTGGGGAGCTTCACCTGCAGGAAACTGGGTTCAACGTCCCTTTGATTCTTTGAACATGAGCGAACTCCATCGAACCTAAAAAGGAAAATTGCAGCACTCATCTTAAACCACCAGTACCTTCCCCTGCTTGAAAAACAAATGCCCACTGGTTAACAGGGGAGGTGGTCTGGCTCGGCTGGACTACCGGCGCGAAATGGCTGGTGGTGCCAGCAAAAACGAGGCCCGCGCCGGCTCGTTTTTTGTTGGCGCGCAGGGCAGTTTTAGGCTCGGCATCGTTGGCTGGGAAAGGTACTGGTGGTTTAGCAACTCAACCACAGATGAAAGTATACACATGACAATAATCGTTACTTTTTTTTCTTGAAACGGTTTTCAGCTTTTTGCAGTCACAGACCCATGTACAGTATCGAGTTGACCCCTGGGTGTTTGAACCCGTGACCTGTGTTTCGGTTGTTGGTTGTTGTCTGTCGTAGGTCTGTGTAGATGTAGGGGTTCGATCTGTAGGTCTGTCGAGTAGGGGTCACAACTCTGTAGAGGTCGTAGATGTAGGTGTTCTGAGAGGTCAAGGTCGTAGCTGCTACAGTCCTGAAAGGTCAAGGTCGTAGCTGCTACAGTACTCGAAAGGACAAGTCCACAGACTTCCGGAAGGTCCGGAAGTGGCCTTTCGAAAGTGTCTCACGTTTAGTCAGAGGCAAGTGGGCAAGTGGTAAGCCCAACAGTGCTGAGTAGGCAGTGCGACCGTGTCCAGTCGGCAGTGCAACCCCGTGCAGTCAGCGGTACCGGTCCCAGTCAGTCGCAGTCCAGTCAAGCAAGTACCGTGTGGGACTGTGTGCACCAAGGGCCTGGTGGAAAGGGGCAGACCAACGACTTACAGAAGTATAAATCAAGAGGCAGCGCCCAGCCATTCATTCATTCACTGTGTAAGCCATGCGGAAGCGCTGCTACAGCGTCTTGTGCAAGGTGGTCTGCAAGTCGCCCGAAGTCGAAGTGGGCCGAAGAGAGATAACGTAGCCATAGTCAGTAGTAGTAGAGCGGTCATAGCCGCGGTAGGAGGAGAATAGGTGTTAGTTTGTGTATGTGCAAGAGAGGGAAGCGTGTGGAGTATTTAGGGTGATCCAAAGTTGTGTGTGTGCGAACAGTGGTGTTGAACGCAATGACGAGAGTGGAGCTGTGTAGGCGATGATGCGCCATAGCTTGTTGAAGCGAGATTGCATCTGAATTGTGTTCTCGATTGCCATATCTCTGAGCTTTGAGTAGGCGCTGTGCACCAGTGTGAATCGCCATCTGTTTGCATCTATGCGAAGTGGAAAAGAAAGCGAGTCTGCTTGCATCTTAAAAACAAAAAGAAAAAGAAAAGTATACAACGCGAACACAGTTCTGGAATAAGATACTAATCAAACATGATGCTCATCGAAAACGACAATGCACGTGTACAGCCTTGTCACCCCAGTGAATCATCACGAAAATGGTGAGAAAGGCGAAAGAGCATGGTTGTGCCCAGCCCCAAACTCGAGCCTAACGACTGTACAAAGAACGCGCCCGACAAAGCAAGTGCAGCACGTGTAGCGGTGAAAGTTGGGCGAGTCGGACGACTGCACAAAAAACACCATGAACAAAGCACTTGTAGCCGGCAAAACAGAGTGAGTCCATTGTTCTTTCACATCAAGTGACATCCAGACAACTTGGCTTCCAACCATGGGTGGTGTAGCAACACCACCCATCACTGCCATCAGTCTGTCACTCATGAAAAACAAGCGTCGAGTGAGTGAAGGGTAGCAGAGTACCACACTCACCATCCGGCAGGTAGTAGTAGTGCAACGTCCCCGTCTGGATTGATCATTGTGTGAGCATGCCCAGACCGAAGTGAGCAAGCCTAACTGCAAGAATCGAGATTTTGAACAAGCACTCGGTAGTAGAGATGCTCCCATGGAAGTCGGGTGCGGTGGGTGCCTGGAGGTCCCTGCACTCCAGGACTTTGATTGTGACGCGGCGTACGCTTTGCAGCGAACAGGAAAGCGCGATGGTGACCATCGCCTGGTGTGGCAAGAGCAAGCTGTGAGGGTGTGGACAGAGTTTCGCTCGTGGATAGTTGGTTGGCAAGGCGAGGGGTCGTGGAGTTTTGCCGCATCGTCGAGTTTTTTATGAAAGATGGTGTATGGTTAGCCTAAGGGCGATGGATGGATGACTCTGTCTCTCCTCCTTTACGGTGGAATTGCTTTGTGACACTTAGCAGCGCTTCTGGTGGCTCGAACCCTTTATGGCGACTTGTCGGCAGGCTATGCAGGTTTGTGCTATAACATCTTTGGCTTCACAAGCGGCAGTGGGAGGTGTCTGTTTTGTGGTTCGTAAGCTAACAGGAATGCTTCGCTTGCGGTGAAGTTTAGTGTTTACTAGCGGGGAGTGGGTAGGTTTTCTTCCCTCTCACGAAGACGTTGGGGGTGTGTTTGGGCGAAGGAGGTGCAGAGGCACGAGGCGATCACGGGACTGACATGATTAAAACGAAGATGGAGGAACTTTTGGTACGGCACCTGCGATGTCGTGATGGACTGTGCGGTTCTTTGGAGAGAGCGGTGGTGGGTGGCAGATAAGGTTTGATACAAGCTCTCCTAGTTACGGCAACGTGGGAGACAACTGTTTTTGAGTTGTTATGAGTGTTTCATGACTGGGCTGTTGTTCGCCGGCACTTTTGCATTGCTTAATCCTTGTTTCGAGGTGCCCTATTAGATTCTTAATTTAGTTTTCAGGCTGCCTGATGTAAAAAATTGTGAATGGGTGGACTTCAAAGCACAATTTAATCTCTGATGAATGACTTCATTCCAGTCTTCTCGTAAGTTGAAGTATGACCTTTAAATTGTTGCTCATTTTCATCATCCGATTTTTCGTACAGGTTTTGTGAATTCATAACGATAGACTTTAGTTTATTTCGTACTTACCCTGCAGTGGCAAATTGCACACCGGTGCCTACCAACCAACGATTGGCTGATAGAGCACACACAATTGGAGCAACAGGGGCAGGCACTGCCATGGTGCCATAGATGCCTCTTGTGCTACCCCGGAAAAAAACGCTCCGAGACGATAGAGCACATTTTCCTTCAGTGCCCCCCCAACCGTATTGCTATGGAGGTGGTGGGACAAGATTTGGAAACACATGGTGTCAGGCTCATTATGGCCATGGGACTGGACGGCCATACTTCTGGGACATTACCCTCAGATTCGAGGAAACACATTCGAAGAGAACATGTTTTGCCTGGGTAGACGTGCCGTCCTGTGTGGAGAACTTCAAGGTGCATTCTGGAAATAGAGGGAGCAAGGGTGGAAGATGGGGAGGTCACGGAGCAACTACGGCCACTAGTACAGTATGAGATTACAGCCCGGTGGTGGACGGCTAAGGAAAAGTTGAACCAAGTACACACTAGGGGCGATATCAATAGAATCATCTCTTAGTTCTGCGAAGACTGGTTGGGAGGGAAGAGGGAGGGCTGGGTGGCAAAGGTGAGTTGGGCAGGAGATAGGCAAGAACGGCGACAGGTCCAGCAACAGGAACACCAACAAGAGCATCAACAGGAGGAGGAGATGGGACCGCAAAGGGGGCAACATGCGGAGATTGAAAAGGACTACCAGCTGCAGTTTCATGAATGGACAAAGATCGACCCTAGGGAGTCATTACGACCAGCCCAGGAATTCGCTGACCGCTTCCCCATCCATCCTTTGGCCCTGGAGGAAATGTCAGCTGAGTTGCTGCCCCGAGACATACTTAAGTACCCAAGCACCTGATCTACGCCATCCTCAGTGAAGCCGAGCATTTTCCAGGAATTCTGAAAGACTTCTGAAAAACGAGAAACGACAATGAAGCCTCAAAAGAATGCTGGGCCCAGCTTCCAGCGCATATACGAGGAGAGCACAGTGAGAATTTGGGGCCAGGCGAGGAAATGGAACGATGCCCCCATTGGTGCCCCCCAGTGGCTCCTTACAGAGAAGCATGTGCCCATTACTCCAGCAATTGCACCAAACCCCTATAATAATAAACATAGGGATTAAAACACTTTCAAAGAACACGTAAAAAAGTAGAAGATCTAGAAACAACTATCCGTGAATATAACAAGGCTCGAAGAGCAGACGCTTCGCGTCTGAATCCCACGCATTGGAACCGAAGGATGCATTACATCCGCTTCGCATATGATATTGTAAAGAAGAACATGTACTTGCAAAGGACGCTGAGCCTGATTCTCAGCTGTATCAATGGGACGCTGGACCCGGTTTCCAGCATGTGCCGCTCCCCACCAATAGATGGAGCAGCCCGGCAGATAATCCCTCAATTCTGATGGTTCTCTTACCACCGCCGGGATAGAGGACTTACACAAGGGCTCATAAAAAAGAAAAAAGAAAAAAAGCTTTCGTACTTACATATCACAAATAAATTCCAATTCGATTTCGTAATTACATATCCTAAATAAATTCATAATTTCTGAAAATACGAAAGTCTTAACTTCTATATCTTCTTACAATTTTGTTCTCAGGTTCTACTCCGTGAAATCTGAAATTTTGAACTCCTATAATTCCCTATAAATTTACTTCTGAATTTTTACGTTCTAAGTTTGGGTCCTCCTTTTTCCTTGGTCTCTGTGGTCTCTGTGGTTCCTTCTAAGCCTGCTATGGGATTTCACTATAAGCAAAAATGTTGTATCATGTTATTGGTCACAATTAAGTCTCAGTCTGCGATGCTTTAGGGTTTGGGCTTATAGGTGCCGATGGGATTATCTCCTTTAGGGTTGGAGCTCCTCCCTGCGAGGGTTACACAAGGTGGGAGGTGTTATCTTTGAGAGGGTAGGGGCTGTGTTGAGGGTTTGTCTTTTTCTGGGCCGGGCTGATTTTTGGGTCGGATCAGCCATGGCGGTTGGGGAGAAAGAACAAGGGGTGCTGATCTCAGCAAGGTGAGATGTAGAGTGGGCTGTCTCACTTGGAGGGGGTGGGACAGGAGGGAATGGGGGATCTTCGGCTCTGCGGGTGCGTACTCTAGGGGGTATTGTATGCAGCTGAGGGAGCAAAAGTAATGTTTAGGGGGCTGTTCTGAACTAGGGCCAGGGAGGTGAGGGGGCGCCTTCCGGCGGAGGCAGTCAAAGGACAGGGGCCCGGGTTGTTTTTTGGGAAAGGAGTAATCCGGTGGGTTATTCTGCGAGCTCTCTACATGCAGCAGAGACTTGAACAAGCGCTGAACTCTCCATGGGAAGAGGGGGTGGTATTCTCTCCCCTCCCCTCTTCTTGTGGGGATAGTTGGCGCAGACTACCTTTCGAGGATATGTTTTTGATTCTCTTCAATTTTTTCTAATTACAAAAAATCCTTCAAAAGGTTGGTGCTGGCGGCAGTGGGTTGTCATGCCTGATATGGTTGGAGATAATGTGCCCTGCGGTGAAGGGGCTAGCCTGTAGGGTGGAAAAAGGGCACAGCAGCGACGGAGATGGTGGCTCCATCGCGAAGTCTTGCCGGAGTAGTAGGGTTGGAAGGGATTTTTGTTGTTTGACTGCAACCAGCGACTGAAGGAGCTGGAGGATCGGAACTACAGACATGGTGAGGATTGGTGGCTTGTCCGACATCTGCTGACGTCTTTGGTCCCAGTGCTTTGCAAATGGACGAGGCCAGAACGATGCTGGTCGGTGCTGGGGCTTGGTCGCGCTGCTCTGTAACTCGAGCTGTACGGGGGCTTGAGACCTGGTAGAGAGATCTGGGGAGTTGTCGAGGGAGGAAGGCACTCTAGTGTGTATTGGTGAGCGGGTACTCAGGCGAGGCTGGGCGGAGCCGGGGCGGGTCGCTTCGCCCTGTAGCCTAGCAGGTGGAGGATTGTTCTGGGTGGGTCGTGCCACTCTGTAACGTAGCAGTTGGGGGTGTGAGGCCTGGTAGAGATTGGGTATCAGGATATAGGGGTTGAGATAGGTCTTGGGTTGGGCTGCTGATGCATCTGGTAAAGTGCTAGGTAACCAAGTTTTGCTGGCGCCCGGTTGGGTGAAGAGGCACTGAGCTAGTTGCTTAGCTGGTTACGCGAGAATGTGGTGGAAGGATATGGTTTTGTTCTGTCAAATTGGATTTAAAAAGGAGTTGTTCTAGGATTAGGAGGCCAGAATGGCTGAGATAGCACAATCCTATATTTTTTCATCATCATCATTAGCATCATGCATTACCACGATCATCTTATTTTCTTTCCTTCATTCATATGTATCAATTAATCCCATGATGTATCTCAGGGACGCTGGACCCGGTTTCCAGCAGGTGTTGCTCCCCACCAATAGATGGAGCTTGTCTTTTTGGAAAAAAAAAGAAAAGAAAGAAAGGCACCAAGGTAGGCTGTTTGAGGTTTGAAAGCTCCTATGGATCAAAGGTTTGTCTTTTTCCTTATAGATTTTCTGCACGAGTAGGTTGTGGAATAGGCTCTTTCAGTAGATTTGCAGTCTTCTCAGTTTTCTGTGCATCGCTACCATTCCTAGCCGAAGCCGGGTAATGCCCCCGGTATCTCTAATTGTTCTGCATATGTTTCTCAATACGTTTTCGAATGCGACGCTGGGCCCCGTTCCCAGCACATGCTGCTCCCCACGGATAGTAACAGAAGAAACACTGGTTAAACCACCAGTACATCATCCTAAAGTCATTCCCGTTAGCAAGCCACAATTTTAGGAAACGTATGGGCCACTACAGGAGCGCCCAGATTCATCCGACTGGAGACGTTTCTACTCTATTTTTTTCTACGGCTGATAGCTGGGCCAAGTACTGGTGGTGTTAACCACCGGTACTCCAGCCTCAGGGGGTCTTGGGCCCCCTCGGATGCAAATGGATATAGACCCGATTCAGCATCTGCGTTAACACCTAAAAATGCGATAGGGGTACTGGTGGTTTAAATTGCCAGTGACCCAGTTCACCCGAAGCAGAGCACTGCTCTTACTGGTTTACACGGTACGGGCGTTTCGATTCGGGCTGGGCCGGTAGCGAAAGGGACAGACCACTTTGTGAGGCGTCGTACCACCGCTGGGATAGAGGGCTGACACAAGGGCTTCAATATATATAAAAAAAAGAGGGCGCCAATGAAATTGATCAACGGCGGCCTGGCCCCGAAAGTTGCCCGTGTTAACCGTTTTAACCGCCTCGCATTTGTTTTTAGAGCGGGGAAAGGTACTGGTGGTTTAAATGAGAGAAAAGAGTCCCAAAAAAAACATGCTGGAATTCCCCTACGTTCGTTTCAGTCGCAACCAGTAGCGGCATCATCAGAGGCAACGAACTGTTGAAGATGAGCATGTGACTCTGGCAAAGCAGTAATTCCACCCATGCAGGCAGAATTGGAATCAAAATTACAATGAATCATAAATACTAAAATAAATAGTAAAGAAATAAATTATTTGCAGCTGACTGGCCATCCGCAATAAAAAAATCATTCATAAAATCGTTCATATCAAGTCCATTGCAGTCTGTTTTTCTTTTTTCAAAATTCAGAACTTTTTTTTTTTTTCTTTTTTTTTTTTTTCTTTTTAATTCAAACTTTCAGAATACGAACAAACGGTTCCCGGCTTTTATAAAGACATTGTTCGGTTTAAAAAAAGCAATAATAATAAAAAAACCTCCTTTAGAAAAGAAAAGAAAAAAGTTAAAAAAACTCATCATTCAATGCATTGAAGCCCACAAGTTTGGCATGTTTGCCAGCTCACAAGAACATGCTGCGACAACCTGGATGGACGTGACTTTATCTGAATCGATACTTCGTGTTTTTTTCTTCGGGGGGTGGAAGGGGGGGGGAGGAGGGGTGTGGAGGGAAGAATCATTACTTCCTTCCTTTTTTTTTTCTTTTTTTTTTCGAGTTGTCATGGTAATTGATATAGGACTTAATATCCAGCGGCCTAGCTCAGTTGGTTAGGCACGCAAGTGGCATTCAGGAGGTTGTGGGTTCAAGTCCCATGGCCGCTTGCGGCGCACTTAGTGCCAACGGACAGTGATAGTCCTCTGGATACCCCTGATCGGTATTAGCGGGGTCTATGACCAACACGGGTGTGAGTGGGGGTGCGAGTGGTTTGTGTGTGGTGTGTGGGAGAGTGTTGGCCATAGCCTCTGCTGCTACTCGACGAGGGGCGGGGGACGATGGGAAAGGGAGGCGCAGCTACTGGCAAAATGCTCGGTCTTTGCGTTAGCCGGACCCCCACCGGCGGCCCCACCCCCCGGGGGGCAGCATGAATTACCTTGTTTGCGAGGCCCTATGCTTGCAGGGGTCCCCTCTATACAGTCTTCGGTAGGTAGGTAGTGTGAGGTGAATTTGAGAGAAGAATATAGCCTTAAAAAATAAAAATAAAAAAAGATATAGGAGTTAATATTTTATCCCTATGTGGAATTGGGAACAGATGGCGCAGTAGGGTGCGAGGTTCCCTGTTGTTGCTGTTGTTTGTTGTTGTTGTTGTTGTTGTTGTTGTTGTTGTTGTTGTTTTTCTTTTTTCTTTTTTCTTTTTGGAGGTTCCACATTTGTAAAAACTAGTAAAAAAATCCAGTGGCCTAGCTCAGTTGGCAAGGCATGCAAGTTGCATTCAGGAGGTCTTGGGTTCAATCCCCATTGGGCTCATGTACCTTCCTGGGCATGCTTGGCGCCCGCCACCTAGAGATACCCCGTTGATCCCCCCAATTGGCATGAAAAAGCAGTCGCTGCTGATGTTTGTAGGGGGAGGGGTAATCAGGGAGGCACAGCGACTGGCCACTCAGATGATGCTCGGTCCCTCTGCTACCGGCTGTCCTCTGGCCGGTGTTCCCCACTGGGGGTTCCCTGAAGGCAATAAGGCCATCCGGTGTCAGATTAGACACAAGATTGAATTTACCTGGGCTTGGTAGTCCGATGATAATACCTCAAGGCCATTGCCCTTTAAGAACAACAAAAAAAAAAAACTACTAAAAAGAAGAAGAAAGAGCAGGCGGCCTAGCACAGTTGGTTAGGCAGGCAAGTGGCATTCAGGAGGTGCTGGGTTCAATTCCTGCTGACCACCTGTGACACTTGTGGTGCCAACCGACTGAGATAGTTGGCTCGCTCCCCCCATTCGGTATTGGTACAGTCTTCGTCCCTCGCATGTGTGCGTATGTGTGTGTGTGGGTGTGCGGTGTGTGTGGTGTGTGGGGGAATGCCAGCAATAGACACTGCTGTTACTCGATGGGGGCAGGGGGAGTAGATGGGAGGTGCAGCTACTGGCAAAATGCTGAGTCTTTGTGTTAACCCCCCCCCCCCCCCCTCCCCCCCCCACCAGTGGCCCCACCCTACCCCCGACCACCGCCGATTAGGGCGGGGGGCAACGTGCATCCCCTTAATTGTGAGAGGTAACTATGCGTACAGGGGTCCCCTTGATATGCTTAGGAGTGGTGGTAGGTAGGTTTTGAAAGGTGAAATCGAGAGAAGAATATCGCTTTGTTTTTAAAATGTACAAGAAAAAAAGAAAAAAGGGAATGGGCATCCCTCCAAGCTGTCCTCTTTTTTTTTTGTTGAAAAGTCCAGGGTGTTGTAGAGGCCAGTTACTAGGCTCACATTTATCGCCGGAAGCTGTCAGCCATGGTTGGCCTGAAGAGACGAGGCTACCTCCCATCCCATCCTCGCGTCAATACTCCTAGCGCACCTCCTATTCCTACTATCCTATCTCAGTGTGACCAGCACTCAGGACCATTACCCTACCATCGAGGTGAACTTGGACCGAAAAGTAGTGACAGGCACCAGGGCTAGTGACCCAGCCCTGGTGGAAGCGAAGTCGAACGAGCCTCGTCGTACGGGAACTTCGGACGCCAGGCTCAAGCAGTCACCTATTAGGCCCTGAGTAGACCAACGAGTAACTCACGCCCTCTCTTATCATCGAGACACCTACTATTAGTTGGTTGTGACCTCCTCCCAGCCCTATGGCTACGTATGTGTGTGTGTTCGGTATTTGTAGGTATGTGCCTGTAGGCTGTGTGTATGTTTGTAATGTCTGTGGACCCATTGCAGACGCTGGCCCCCACCATGGAGCATCTGCGAAGTGAATACCAGTGAGAGGTGCTCCTACCACCTCTACCAGTGTCTGTGTGAGCCACGTGTAGGTAGTATGTATAGGCCCATAGAAGCACCTTGCCTCGACGCTGCGGAGGGGCGATCCTATGCGCCCTTAATCTGTTGCCAACAAATAGACAACCCTCCTCTAGAACCCGCTAGGGCTCCTCTCCCTCCCTCTCAGATGACATGGGCAAAGCCATTCTCTGACTTACCCAATAGCATTGAATCTACTGATTGCTCTCCTAAAGAGGTTTTAACTTTTAACTGTAGAGTTGCACCCCCTGTCCTCCTTTTACCAAGAAGACCATTTCCCCAGCTTGAGCCATTCTCAATTGTTCTGGTAGCCTGGAATGTATCTGACCGCAATTGCAGACACATCTTTTTTTTTTAGCCCAGGCTGTTGTAGATGTGGGATACTAGAAAGCCTCCTTGAGTTTTGGAGTAAGCTCTGAAAAAGACAGTGGCCGCCGCCCGGCATTTTGACACGACGGCAGGCTCCTTGGTGAGAGTTGGAAACGAAGAGCGGTTGGGGCGCCATGACGGCTGCTTCGAAGCGAGGACGAGAGTGCGGGGTGAGAGGTTAGCAGGCGGATGATGAGGTGGGAGAGGGATCATGGGGCATGGAGGAGCAGGCTAGTGGTGTCCGGGCGTTGCTGCAAGCTTTCTTGTTTGCTGTTTCTGTTATGTGCTTGCTTGCTTGAATGGAAGAACACGCAGGTAGCGTATCTCATATCAAGGTCTTGTTGGAGAGGAGAAATGTCGCGGAGGGGAGTAAGGGGAGGCAGACAGGGTTTCATGGGCTAGAGGAAGAGTATTACAAGAAGGGATGGGAGGAGGAACGTGGGAGTAACGTCTTTTATAGGGGGGCGACGTCTGCGACGATGACACCCCTTCATCTCTTTGGGCTACCTGCGAGGGGTGGCTGGCAGGCTCAACGGTTTATTCTCGTGACGTGGTTTGGAGTATTGTGATGGTAATCCTAGCTGCGGTCCTTATCTTCATCGTTCGGTCTTTTGGGATGGTTGAATAGTCGTCAACCATAGGCGGCCGAGTTGCTTGGGAGTCGATGAAGGAGGAGGTGAGGCTTGGAGAGAGGGGGGGTGCGTTTATGGATGTCGAGGGTAAGTTGTGTTCTTCCTCTTCACGTTTTGTAGCGGTGATTATGTGATGACCTTGATGAGATTCTTAACGATGTGATTCTCAAATAGTTTTGTCCGGTTCAATACTTATTAGTCCCTCCAACCTTGAATTCCAGATATGCAACGAAAATATAACTAATAATTTTGATTCTGAGGTTTGAAAATCAAGATTAAATCAAGATTAATCCTGACCCGGTTTGGTTGCCTAATTCTGACTTAGTTTATTTGCTTATTTCTTTCAAATTTTTTATCATTAGCCGTGTAGACTGTCGTGTGTTTTGTTGCTGAATTATTTTCTGGGCAAATATTCTTAGCCCGAGATTCGTAAAATCAGAGGTCGGGCACCTCTGATTTCTTAAAAGTAATTTTCAAATTTTAACTCAATCTGTTTTGATCTTCTGATTTGTCTAGACGCTTAAATTCATGAGGTACGTAATCTTGATTTTGAAATTATAGTCATTGTGTGTTCCGATTCAATTTCTGATTGTTTGATCTTGATTTGCGTGGGGCGCCTCTGATTTCGTAAGAGTAATTTTCAAATTTTAACTCAATCTTTTTTTATTTTCTGATTTGTCTTGACGCTTAAATTCATGAGGTACGTAATCTTGATTTCGAAATTCTAGTGTTCCGATTCAATTTCTAATTTCTGATTGTCTGATCTTGATTTGCAAGTTTTAAAAAATCGGACTTAGTTCTGATGTCTCAATAATCATTTCATTTTTTTTTTGCTATTGAATCTGAATGGAAGCATCTCCCTTAGGGTTGGAGCCCCTCCCTGCGAGGGTTACACAGGGTGGGTGGTGTGATCTTTGAGAGGGAGGGGCAGTGTTGAGCGTTTGTCCTTTTCGATGATTTTTGGGTCGGGTCAGCTATGGCGGTTGAGGAGAGAGGACAAGGGGTGCTGATGTCAGCATGGTGAGATGTTGTAGGGCTGTTTCACTTGGAGGGGGTGAAGCAGGAGGGAAGGGAGATCTTCTGCTCTGCGGGGCATACTTTAGGGGGTACTTTATGCAGCTGAGGGAGCAGGACTGACATTTAGGGGGCTGTTTCGAACTGGGGCTGGGAGGTGAGGGGGCGCTTCCCCACGGAGGCAGTATCAGACAGCGGGTCGTTTTTTTTAGGGAGAGAAGTAATCCGTTTTGGTTATTGTGAGCCTTGTACATGCAATCAAGATTATAATAAGCGCTGGAGTTTCCATGGGGAAAAAGGGTGTTTTTTTCCCTCCCTTTCCCTCTTCTTATGAAAATAGTAGGCGTTGAAACGTGTATAGGGTTTTCTCAATCTTTTGATTTGAAATTCCTGATTTTTCAATATGTTTTTTTTTTTTTTTTTTTTTTTAAATTTCGAGTCGCGGATACCACTTAGGGAGGTGATAAGAGCAGCCTCCCTAAGTGAGTCCCCGGTTGAAGGCTCCATCTATTGGTGGGGAGCTGCACCTGCTGGAAACCGGGTCCAGCGTCCCTGATATAACAAGACATATCAATGACTGACAAGTGTTTGGACAATTGACATATGTTGGTAGAGTTCACTGTCCTTCCTGTTGCCTGTCCCCCCGAGGCGTGGTGAGGGCAGGTGTACCCAACTTGAGATGGCAGGGCTTTGGGCCCTTTGTGTTTGCTGATTACAGAGAGTAGTGAGGTCGGTGCCAGCTGTGGAGAGAGGTGAGTGGGAGAAGTAGATGGTGGGATATCAGGCGTCCTACTGGCGAGGGGGCTAACTCGTAGGATGGAAATAGGGCACAGCAGCAGCGGAGATGGTGGTTCTACTGCAGTAAGTCTTGTCGGAGTGAGGTAAAGAGGATTGTTGGGCGGGTTCTGAGTTGTTTGTTCTTAGCCGAAGCCAGGTAATGACCCTGGTATCTCAAAAAAAGAGGGAAGGGGGGAGCTAGAACTGGAGGATGGAAGGTAGTAAGGGGGCTCTCAACAAAGGAAGGTTGTTTGTTGAGGTAAGTAGGTTAGAAGGACGATGCTGGGACGACAAAGGCCGGTGCTGGAGCTTTTGCTCTGTGACCTAGGGGGAGCTTGAGGCCTGTGGAGTTATGCCGAGGGTGGAAGGCATAACCAGACCGTTCGACGTAGCCAGCGCCGAGGTATTAACCCTGTAACATGTATCAGGGGCTTGCCACTAAGGGAAATGTGGAGGGAGGAAGGCACTTCCTGTCCGTCAGAACTAGGCTAGTCAGTATTGGAAAAGGTTGTGGTGCCCTATTACCCGAGCAGAAGGGGGTATGAGATCAAGTGAGTTCTGGTACAAGGACTGAAAGCTTGGACCGTCGTTCCGTCTGTTGAGGGGGGGAGTTTTGGATAGTGGGCAGTTTCGTTTTGACCCCCCGCTCTCATATTTTTCCAAGCCTTTTCAATTTTTTTCTGAATTTTAGCCTATCTTATGAGGAAAATCTTGAGAATGCCTCAGGATAATGGGTACCTTTTGCAACTCATTTTAGTTTTTTTTTTAATGCTGTTTTATTCATGGATCTGCAGTTTCTCGATGCCAGAACGACGCTGGTCAGAGCTGGGGGGTTGCCCCTGTAACCTGTTGATAGCGGGAGTGTGAGGCCTGGTAGAAAGATCTGGGGATGCCTTGGGCCGGACATTCCAAGGGAAAACCAAGGGTTGTTGTCGGTACGACGCTGACTGGAGTTGGGGTGAGTTGTGTTGCCCTGTAACCTAGCAGGATGGGGGCATGAGGCCTAGGAAATCTCGACAGGGAATAAGACAATGTTAGAGAATTTTAGAATGTTTTGTTGGGGATTCTGGAGGTTCTGAGCACTCAAAGGGCTTCTGCGGCTTTCCGTTTTGACTTAGTAAGTGCTGCTTGAGTAGCCTAGCAATAGGTTAGCAGTTATCCATGTTTTCCTAAATTTTCTATTTTCATAGTTCTCAGATTGTTCTTAGCCGAAACCAGGTAATGGCCCTGGTATTTCAAATCATGTATAATTCTATATGGGATGTTGGGCCCGGTTCCCAGCACGTGTTGCTCCCCACGAATAGTCTGGACCATGCTAGGTTATAGGCTGTCTCTTATACACATCTAGATGTGTATAAGA